CTAGCTGAAAATTTGTTGAATTCAGAAAACATAGCCTGAAAAGGTAATTAATCTTATTGAATTGTAATTTCAAAGATTCACAATATAAAATAAATATCTGCATACTTGGTCACATTCAAACGAGAACATGCAAGGAGTCTCCAACATCGTCGGCTTCAACTTGCATGGACGTGGCATTCTCTCACTGCGTAGAAGAAATAATAAAATGTGACGCTATTGTAAACTATTATTGGTGAGTCGTAGGTTTAGAAATTAACAAAGTTTACAAATTTTAGAAAGCTCTTCCTGTTAAGTTAAAACAAGTACCAATTATTAAAATCACTTATGATTCTGTATTTGATATTTTACATGTTTAAATTGTTAGTAACCAAACTAACTCGTAATCACGCGACACGACTGTGTCAATAACATAAAAGTCGCGTGACAACACGATTATTCGTATCTTCAAAATCATAGTAAATATGAAAATTACCACACATAGTTTGAATTCTATGTTACTTAATTTTTACTTTTTATTGCTAATGAAAAACCTCGAAAACCAGACGAATGTTGGAATCCTCAGCATGTATGGAAGACCGTTCCTTTTCACCAAATTCTTTCTTTTTTATGAGCCATGTCCTTTCAGGATTTCGGCGATCATGGCTCTCCAATTCTCTCTATCCCTTGCAACTCTCAACAAGTTCCTTCCCTCCGCTTCCTCCCCCAGATCACGTTCTGTCATCCACCTGCTCATGATCGTCAGGAGTGTCACGGGCTGCTTTCCCTTGTCTCGCTTTCCTTCTATTTGACCTGTGAGTATCAGATTCTCCAGGCCTTCTTTCCTCATTATCTGTCCCAGAAACTTCAGCTGCCACTTTCTGATGTTAAGTATAAGCCTTCTCCTTGTTTACAAGCCCTCTAAGACCTCACCGTTGCTCACACGCTCGGTCCATGATATTCTTATCATCCTTCTGTAGAACCACATCTCCGTCACCTCGAGTCTCTTCTTCATCTTTGAGGAAATCGTCCAACATTCGCAAAACTTAAACAAGAAAAATCAATGAAATAATATAAAATATATAAATCGTTTTCTTTAAATATCATTGCAATATTTAAGGAGATGTTGATTTACTCTACGTGGTTTAGGAATGGCACAAGGCTGTAAATATAAACACCCATTTTTTTGTATATATTTCTAGTTTTTTTTTTATATAGTGGATATATATATATATATATATTTTGTTTTGGATATTTACATTTTTGGTCATTTACGCAGCATTAAGCAACTTCTGATATTGAATAATGTTTTTTTAACTACACTAAATTTCAAGTCCAGTCGATTCTAATGTCCTCAATGTGTGAATCACAAATACTCTGCTTGCACTATTTACATTATTGTCATCATCTTTATTGCCAAGTTTATCACAACCTTTCGGCCGTTGTACGTTCCGGCCTTCTTCAGGTGATTGGAATGTCAAACTGAACCCTTTATTTCGCTCACGTGTCATGTTTAATGGATGTCAGTTATCTCATCTTAATTCCCCTTTCCAAGTCCTCCACCGCCTTAACCAGGTATTGAGCTCTTTGGGTCCTGTCACTGGATCTAACTAACGCCTTTCTTCACTGTGACATGTGTCCTTGAAACGGCCGAAACGTTGTGATTAACATAGCGATAAATATGAGGACAATAGTCAGAATAATGCAAATAGTGTACATAATATCTCATCTCAGAAATATAGACAGATACTGAAGAAGGCCGGAGCGTTCAACAACCGAAACGTTGTGATAAATACGGCAACAAAGATGAAGACAATAGTCCGAATAATGTAAATAGTGTACATAATACCTCATCTCAGAAATATAGACAAATACTGAAGAAGGCCGGAGCGTTCAACAACCGAAACGTTGTGATAAATACGGCAACAAAGATGAAGACAATAGTCCGAATAATGTAAATAGTGTAGATAATACCTCATCTCAGAAATATAGACAGATACTCTGATTATTTTTTACCTCTTCCGCATTCTTTACCCTCATACGGATTTGTCTCTCACTCCAGTCAAATAACGCCAACAATACTATCTATCTAACTATCTATCTATCTATCTATCTATCTATCTATCTATCTATCTATCTATATATATATAAATATATATATATATATATATATATATATATATATATATATATATATATAATTATATATTCTCTCCTGATCTGGTGGCTCGTCTTAAATCACTTTACCACCGTATTATTGTTTTGTCCGTGTATTGTTTAATATATTTATGGTGTTTTTCTTTTCAGTGATAATGTTATTAAGTTTATCAGACAATATGTAAGGAATTTACTTAAATTAAATAGACAAAACTTGTCTGTATTATTTAATGAAACAGACATCAATATATATATATATATATATATATATATATATATATATATATATATATATATATATATATATATATGAACCTAAATGAAATAATATTAAAAACGAAGGAATATCAATATACAACCGAGTGTGTCTAAAGATTTTAATTTTTAATATTTTTTATTTTTTTAGTGTTAATTAGCAGCAGGGGGGCATATATATATATATATATATATATATATATATATATATATAGAGAGAGAGAGAGAGAGAGGGTGAGAAAGAGAGCGTAAGAGAGGATCAATAAAAAAGGTCGCATTTTTAATATTTCTTAATTTCATAAGTAATACAACCAATTTTTGGAAAGGTCAAACGATATTGCCTCCTATTTTTAGACAATTACTTCTTCATGTTATTAATCTTCAACGGGGTCACCTGATGCAGAAACCCGACGCATTCGTTTAGAAGTTGATTTTTCAATAATGCTCTAAACCAAATTATCCCGGCTTGCTGGACATCTAAAGAGAAACGCATTGTTGAACAAGCAGTAAAGTTTTCCTGGCCCTGTATTGAATCTAACACAAATTTATTAAGCGATGTGTCCAAAAGATCGCTTTATCTCTTACAATGCATTTATTACGCAAATTGCCATTGTGAAATTGGCAATTTCCGAGTGGCAAGATCAACTTGTATTTTACCATCTCTCACTTCTACTCTTGAAAGTTCGTAAATAAACTCAT